ACGATTATGACAAAAATCATAATTGTCGATTAATCCCTTGAAATTGTAATTGCGATTATTAATTACGATTATCACAATTTACATTGAATGATGTTTATACCATTGTTTGATGCAACTGCGTGCCGTATGGTTATATGAAAATAAACAACTGAAAAACCTTTAGTGCTTTTCTATAGTATTAAGCCTCAAATGTCAACTATACATCGGATCGGTTTCTTCTTTAAATTATAAAAAAAGTAAAAATATGAATGGTATTATAATGTTATACTAAAACTAAAACAATGGAAAACCCCTTAAGATAACATATAGAAAGAAAAAAACATATCTTAAGCGTGCAGAATAACACATGGATGATTAATTCCCGCTTTGAACGATTACGTAATTGTGGCATCCATAATTGTAATTGCGATTAGAAATTCGATTAATTTTGCAGCCCTATTAAGAACCAATCAGGAATCTGTTGCATCTTATGCCCTTGTATTCCAGGAAAAAATGTGTTTTAATTACATTATAGTTGTATAATTTAAAGCTTGTCGCATATTTTCTTTTTGTAAAGGAAATTTTTTTGGCCCATTAAAATGTACATTTGTGCACAATTTTGAGACATTAACATACTCCTATGTGACTAATCCAAAATGTACTTGTTTTTGTGAGTATTTATGTGTGAAGGGTTGGTGTGCATTGCTCTCTGCTGGGGACTCATTCTTTTTGCTGCCTGCCATCCTATGGGATTGAACTCAAGGTTGTTTGTGTTGCAGGCCAGGCCAGATGGGAGTTGGTTGGCTTACTCTTGGTTACAAACGCTGTTACCTTAGGCAGCAACTACATGCAAAACAAACCCTTAAACAGTGCTAGCACCCATGCAAAATGAATTGATGAGGTTTTGACATGGAGAAATAGTGATGAAATTAGGAAGAGAATTATTGGAAATTATTCCATTTTATTGGAAACACTTTCATCTTGTTTGCTTTGACTACAGACAATGTTTATAACATTCCAAGTAAACGATTAGCAAAAATACTGCTTTTTTAAAAATCAGATATCATTGTTGTCACTTTGACTCTCTCCTTTTTATGTCTGTCTCTCATTTTAAATGAGGTGCATTGCATGAAAATGGAAGCAATTTAAATGTCACATTTAATGGCTCTCCCAGGGGGTATACATTTGGGTATTTTTAGAAAAAGAAAAAAAAATCAGCTGTCTCTCAGGCTTGTGTATTTTCACAAAGAGAAGAGGGAGCCCGAAAACAGAGAAAAAAGAAAATAGTAAAAAGGCCTCTTGAATACCTTGAAACATGCCTTTATGCTAAAGTCATTTTTTTCATACGTTTAGTAAAAGCTAGTAAAATATAGCAACGTAATTTTTGTTTTTGGGGCTGTCAGAGCACTGTGGTGTTGATGCACAAAACAACTTGCAAGTTTGCCTTTAGATGGCAGAGTGACCGCGAGAAGCTCCATCTCTAACTTGCTGCACGGTTTGAAACATTTGTGTGTAGGCAGGTTAACTTTACCTTCTCTCTGTTCTGCATCTCTTGTCTGTTTCTCTATCCTTCATTCAAATGTTTCTATGATCTGAAGAAGGTTTTCATCACGGCCATCTCCATAACCGCCCACTGTACATCTGTAATCTCTTATAATCTCTTTTTATACTCCTCTTTAATCATACTGTTTTTTTTTTCTTTCCTCTATATCCTGCTGATCCTCCTGTGTCAATCCTGAATTTTCATTCTGCCTAAATCTGCTTTTTTGATCCTTCTCTTGAGTCTTTATTTTCATTTTGGTGTCTACTTCAATTCTGTTGTCAATATAAAAGGATATTGTTCTGCTGCACAAATCTTTTTTTATCCAGCCACACAACTCTTTACACATTTTCATACTGTATTCATATTGTATTATTTACAACAGAATTAAAAATGACTGTTCTTACCATCTAGCGATTCTTCCACATTGTCCTTTGGCTGGTAGGTCTGAGCAGTCAAGAGTTTGAACAGTGACAATCGTCCTCTTAATTCAAGATAGGAAATTGATCAAGGGCTGAAGGTCATCTTGATTCTCTATGTCCTTCAATTTAAGTGACCAATGAAAATTGCAGCCCTTTACTGTAGGATTCCTATGAATTGTAGGCACTGAAATAAGGATAACATCAACCAGAAACACCCTGGGAGTTTTCAGCTTTCAGTTCCAGTGTCAATCAATAGAAGCAGCCAGAATTTTCATCACTTCTGTACAGCAAGAGTATATCCGAGGCGATGATGTGTATTCAAGTTGCAGTGTGTCCTTCAAAGTTGACATCATGATGATTGTGTTTTCTTGAATGAGGATTGACGGAACACGGGGATGTTGTAACCCCTCATCTTTGAGACCGTGTTACCTGTGAAGAAAACATTTTCAGTGAATTAGAGTGCCAGAACAGAAAAGAAGACTTTTATATTCAGTGTGTCAACTAGTGTTGTCAAAAGTCGGTACTAAATAAATGAAAACGTTATTTTCATTTCATCTTGTCTGTAATGCCTGAGCAGCGTTTGTGAGCGGAGCGCTGCTTTGTGTATAGCCGTTACCAGGGAAACCTCTATCTCTCCTGCCCTACAAGCACCTCCTGCTGGCAGAGAATGAATTTGCATATATATGCCGCCACAAATAGAGAGCAAGTCTGTGGGAAACACCGCTTCTGTTATGAATATTATTCAATATTTTAATTTGAATGTCGGATTGAAATGAACATCGCCGTTAGCGTAGTTAATCGTTAGCATAAGTGAGGCTGTTTCCCATACATTGATTTACTGACTGCCACAAATAGATTTTCCAAAAGGCTTTGACTTTGTTGAATTAACATGAGCACTGCACGTTTCAAAATCGAAACCCGGTGCGGGTGTTTTTATATCACTGTATTTCTAAAGGAATCCGACTGTCTTCAGAAAATTGGATGTCCGTTTCATTTAATCTTGCATGTAATGTCTGATAAAGCAGTGTTTTTTTGAGCAGAGCGCTGCTTTGTGTACAGCCGTTACCGGGGAAACCTCAATATCTACCACTCCAACAGCGCCTCCTGCTGGCAGATAATTAATTTGCATATATATGCCGCCACAAATAGAGAGCAAGTCTGTGGGAAACACCGCTTCTGTTATGAATATTATTCAATATTTTAATTTGAATGTCGGATTGAAATGAACATTGCTGTTATTAGAGTAGTTAATCGTTAGCATAAGCGCGGCTAACGCTAATATAATGAGCATTAAAATTAAGTTTTTATTAACTATTTAATGCTCCTATAACTTTTATTAGGGAAAAAAAAAAATAGGAGGACATGATGATATTTACTATTTTTACACACCAGAGGATTTTAAATGAATTGTGAATCTAAAATATGCGTGTTAAAGAATGTACAAATGGTTAACATTGTTTGTGTCATATGTCATATCAGTTAGAAAAGCAGTTCTGGGCTTTTTTTTTTTTTTTTTAGCTAACTTAATTAGTTGTTATTCTTGGCTGAATAACTCTAGAAGGTTTTCATTTAAAATTATATGTACACAGTTTGGATTAAATTAAAGTATAGTCAAATTTTTTAATTAGCATGTTTTTGTGTTTTGCTTTGGTACCGAAATTGTTACAGAGAACCGTGTATTTTCACTGGTATTGGTACCGAATACTGAAATTTTGGTACCGTGACAACACTAGTGTCAACAGTGTGTCTCTCTCTAAAAAGAACTGTATTTCAAAGAATATCAACTCTGAAAATGGTGAAGTCAAGTTCAGTGTGCAGAATTAAGTGGAAAATCTCTTTTACAGACTGCTCTAAGCCAGCCAGGACCAAAAATGCAGAAATCAAGGCACACCCATATTGTTGCAAACTGGGTCACATTGTTGACAAGACTGAGGTAGGGCAAGAAATGATGGGTGTCTGTGATGTCTGTTCTGACTCAATTCTCTGTATTAGGTAAAGACAGACCAAGATTTTTTTCCTACCAGATTTCTGAGACCAATTAAGTTTTTTAGGTGAGTCTGAAATTATGCCTAGTGTATTTTTTCCATATATTTAGATTTTCGCTTTGAGTGTTTGTTGTTTATGTCTTCTAGAACTACTGCTTTGGGACTGAGCGTCTGAACCAGCAACTGTTAACTCTCTTTGTATCATAGTGTGCTGAATCTGTTTAAATTCCCAAGCCTGACGTGGTTGATTTGTGTTTGTGATGTTGAAAGTCTCCTCTGGGCCCCACTGGCTCCCAGTCTAATTGCTTTTTCACGGTCCAGTCAGAGATTGGGAGTGATCAAAAACATTATTGCAGAAATGTATTGCACCATGTGGATGTAGCAGCCTGGTGAAGATGGATCAGCGGAGGCCCATAGTACCACGTGTGTGAGGAGACAGGGAGCATTTCCAAAGCACATAGCTAATGTAAAGGGAATTGAGGAGAGGAGAAGTAATAAGGACAAAGAAGGCTAATTAAAATCAATGAACGTATTGGGGAATTTTCGCCAATCAATGCTCTTAGATAGCAGAAAAGGCTAACGCCTATTGAGACAGATGCCTTAAAATGTCTAGCGAGTGTAAAACCAGACAAATACACAGCCCGTTGCCCTTCTCTGTTCACCTTTCTCACTCTGCCTCTCTCTCTCTCGTATGGTATAATGGGGCAGTCACATTAGGGAAGAGATTATGATGAGAAATGATAAGAGGTTATATCAGTGCTGCTGTCATGCTCGCACTGACCTCCATCCCCAGACGTGCTTGAGTAAATGCTGAAAATGGACAGTAATAATGTTCACCTGGAGTAGGGTGGTGCAGTTCCACTGCTCCAGGTTTGTTAATATTGCTGATGGTAAAGATGTCCTCCATTCTTAAAGTTATTAGAATGGTGACAGATCTGTGCTTTTATTTGTATGCCCTTGCATGTTTGAGGGTGAGTGCGTCTGTGTATATGTGTTCGTGTCCATGCATATGTGTACAAGCCCATGTCTAACATTTTTACCATCCTGTGCACGTAACCTACCCATCTCTGCCTTTCAATTTCTCATTTGCGGCGAAAGGGAGAGAGAATGGAAAAGAGAGAGAGGGGCAGATGGAGGAGGAAAGGAAAGAAGGAAGATTGATGAACCTATTGGAATCAAATTTGGTGGCAGAAATGACTGTCAGGCCCAGTTTCCACAACAACACATATTCACAGCACTGACACAAAGACAGACTCACTGGGCTTTGTCTTAGGATCATGAAGGAGCATGAAGTCTTAATGGTCTATCTTGTTCCTCACACAGCTTTGTCATAAAATATTACTCAAGCAAATCATGAAATAATTATTCCCCAGCAAATCCAGTTTATTATTCATTCACAACAAGCACTGATAAATAACGTTGTTGTATTGGCTGGCTAACAATGTAAACAACTGGAGAGCTTTGTGTTACTGTCTGGTCCCTTGCAGTAAACTTGGTTAATATGACATGATTGGTATAGGGCCCTCAGGAATTGTGGTATTTTACTGAACAGTGATTGACTGTATGTGTGTATGTGGCTTACATTGGGGCTACGAATATAGACGCCGTAATAGCAGAGCATTGGCCGGAGGGCATACTTGTATGTCAGGATATTTTTCAGTTCCCATATCAGCACATGCCTGCGAAACTAGTGCTCTAGGCCTCCAGGCTACAGTGTTGTAGTGATAGTCCACAGTGCAGTTCTGTTTTAAAAAGGTTTCGTCAATGGGACTCTGTGTTAGAATTGTAAGTGCTCTAGAATATTCTACAGTTGTCACGTTCAAAAAAATGACAGATCTGTCTTCTGCTAATGATACTTCAAGCTTCTTTTTAGGAAGCGGTCTAATTCATTGCTCAGTAGTGTTGTTTTTGGCGGCCTGTTTTAATTTTAGTTTTAGTCTAGTCTTTGTGTGAAGCTGTCATTTTAGTTTTTATTAGTTTTAGTCACGTTCATACTCTTTTTAGTCTAGTCAAGTTTTAGTCAACTAAAAGTCTGAGCATTTAGTCTAATTTTAGTCAGAATTATCCATGACTATTTTCAACTAGTTTTAGTCGACGAAAACTGATGACATTTAGTCTAGTTTTAGTCGACGAAAACTGATGACATTTTAGTCTAGTTTTAGTCGACGAAAACTGATGACATTTAGTCTAGTTTTAGTCGACGAAAACTGATGACATTTAGTCTAGTTTTAGTC